CCTATTGAATGATTGAGCTTTATAAACTCTTCAGGCTTGTGTATGTCTTTCAATGAGCTGATAAGGATACATTAGCCAAGTGTTAGATCATTTTCCTAAAGTTAACAAGGAGATCTCTGCTAGAACTGGGCCTTACATATTAGAACCTTTTATTTGAATATGCTGATTTTTTTTCTATGACACTTGGAATTATAAACACTTAAAAACACAAGTCTTGGTTATGGGTGAGTCCCACTTCCAAACTTCGGGCTCTGTCCATGGCTGGGTGGGGAAGTGGAGGATGGAAGTGGGCTTATCAGCCATTACGTTCTATCTAGCCAGCACCAGCAGCCCTGTGGTGGTGACAACGATGGACCTGGAGCCAGTGAGCTCTTCAGAAGGAGGAGAAGGGGTCACAGTCTTGGGAGCTGCTGCCATGCAGGCATTCAGGGATGCGGCATGGCAAAAGAGTAAGGAAAAAGGCTTTGGAAATGTAGAGCTGGGAGTCACCAGGACAGAGAAGAAAGTCCCAACGAGAGTCATCCACTTTGTTAGTGGTGAAACAATGGAAGAATACAGCACAGACGAAGATGATGTTGATGGTCTGGAAAAGAAAGATGGTTTGCCTACTGTTGATCTGAAAAAGCTTACCTGGGGCCGCTATTTATGCTTCCACATGCACCGTGCCACTACATCAACCCTCTTGGTATGTGACTTTCTTGGAAAGAAGATTGCATCTGTTTTTGGCATGAGCAACCTAAGGCACCAATACACCATTGATACATGTTACCATATGAAGAGGGAGGAGGGAAAGGAAGAAGACAGGATGTCTGAAGAAGTAGAAAAACAATACCAACAGAATGAACTCCAGGCTGATTCCACTGTTCAGACAGATCAACCAGAAACAGTGATATCCAGTTTATTCGTGAATCTCAATTTTGAAATGGAGGAAGATTGTGAAGTAATTACAGAAAGCAAACAAAATTCAGTCTCTGTCCCTCCATAAAGTGAAATGACTCTCAAACTTCAAACCCTAAGGGGGTTTTTATACCAGGAACGTTCACATTCTCTAGTCAGTGGGACTTAATATGTTAGTTATTATCTGGAAAGGGGAAAATGTTTCTTTATTCTTAGGCTCTATCCAGCAAAAGTCAGATCTGAAATTTGGATATTTGTGTTATGCTTTTACTGTGTGTAAAATTAGTTCTTTGGTTTTAAAATGATTTTTATAAAAAAGTTAAGGACATTTTTACAGCCCTAACTTCCAATTAAAAAGAATTACATTATCAAGCTTGTCTGTTATTTGTGTTTGTAAGAAAAAAAGTAGGGAAGTTGCTGATAAAGGCTAATCAAAGTTGATTTTCCTAATCTCAGATGAAAATGAGGATTTTCCCCCTAAACATTTTATACTATATCTTTATATTTGTGTATCTAACCATTAATTTTATAGGATGGTTCATTGAGTGTGTAATAAAAGGAGCAAGTTAAAACACTTTGAATTTTCTTTCCTCAAGAATAGCTTTATTTTATAGGAAAGGTGATTGAGTTCCTAACACTAACTTTTAAGATGGGATTTTTTTTTAAATGCAGGTTACTTAATCTTGTATTCTCTTTTCAGTAGTTACTCAAATTAAATAACTAACTTTGAACAAAATGCTAAAAATACTAGTTATTGAATAAATTTATTAATGTACTTTTTTCAAGTGGTAATACCTAGTGATTATCCACGTGGCATCCTGGTTATGAGCCAAATAGTTGCAGGGAGGGGGTGTGCAACAGAGGGACAGGTGTGAAGACTTAATCTTTCAGAGCCTCACTGTTAATTAAATTTTGCACAAGGTGCCATGGTAGCATAATGAAGGTACGTGTCATTCACCATTTCAAAGTAACAACAGTAAAGTGGACAGTTTACCTGACCCAGGTTGGCCTTCTCTCTACTCACTGTGCTCTTAGCCAAGCTTACAAAAGTATAGTATGGAACTAACTTTGAAAATATTTCTAAATATGTGTTCAGAATCTTATGAGGTATCTGTATGACTTTGATTTATAGCTGTCAGTAAAGAAGAACACGTGTCATATTTCAGATATTACTGCTCTTAAAAGCCCCTTCACAAATATAGGGAGTTTTTGGAAGTTAATAGTTGCTAATAGCCATCTAAACAGCATTAAGTTTTCAATCTTAAATGTATCTATATAAAATACAAAAAACTGACAACATAGATACAGTGGGCCTATTATGGAAGTCTGTTACCAATTAAGTGGAATTTGGAGAATTTATGACAGATGATTCTTTACTAGGAATCATTGGTTACATAGATTCATGGTGGGATGATTCATGACATGTGATATAATCTTTTGGTTATGGGTGTAAACTCTACATACTTTAGTCCCCTTTAGGATTTATCATCAGGTTATGTAATTGATGTCCCTGTGAGTTATGGTTTATAATAGCTCTACCGCATGCAAACCTGATGTCTTCCCTCTAGTTTGTTTTTAATTTCATTGGAGATAGTGCTTTCCACTCAGATATTTGGCTGTCTAGTGGAGGCATGCATATATAAAGTTCATTTGAATATTCTCTCCCTGGAGGTACTAAAAGAAAACTAGGAATGTGGAGGATACCGGCCAGCAGTATCCATCTTGGCTGCGGATGCTCGTCGAAACATGCTAAAAACATACACAGAGACAACCAGGTCCTGTGGGGGAATAGGGACAGAAGGGCCACTCCTCACATGGGGAGCGCCTTGGCCACCCTCTCTCCTGGAGGGCACCACTTGGCCACTCTCTCTCCTGGAGGCTGCCATGGCCACTCCCTCTCGTGGGGAGCGCCCCGTGTCCATACCCAAGCAGATTTTTATTGAGAAAACAGACTGAGTTTGTGGATTCACAGTCTGGCAGAAAAGATCAAAAGAAGTAGGTGACTTACAAAGGTGCAGACAGAACCCCTGCTGTGATTCTGGGCAGAGATTGGGGTTTTATCTAACAGGGCTCAAAGGGCAGTTTCGGTTTCCTGTCTGTGCCTTTCAAATTCCAAGCTAATAACATCCTCCAGCAAACAGATCTCACAGGATCTTGCCTATTCTATGTCCCAGGCCTGATTACCCCAGGGGTTCACCGTTTTTGGTCTGAGCTGTTTTGCCCCTGCAGGCCTGAGAAGGGCAGGAGACAGAGGCAGCCAGGAGACTTGGATTTCTCACACCCAAGAACAAAGACTCAGGCTTTGACAAAGCCAAAGGGGGTAGGGGTTGATGTTGATCACCCCGTTATTTCTACAGCCCCGTGAATCTTGTCCCTGTCATTCCTTCATGAACGCATCTGTCTTAGATTCATTCTCTATCCAAGAGAATTGTTACCCGTCATTGACTGCCGTTCAAGCATGAAAAGGAATGAGGCATATGAACAGGCAGCGTTCATGCCAGGGAAATAAGTTTTGTCTCCTTCAGTGGCTCCTGGTTCAGAGGTCTTTCACTCAGCCTAAGTCACGGGGGGTTACAGCTTCCTGAGACCAGGCAGGGCAGTCCCCAACATAGCAACTTATCTGATTATAGTAAAAAAAGGTAATGACTTATGAAGGTTTTATGTCTAATTTCATTTTATTTACTTGTCCAACAGTGGCCCATTTGTAATGTTTACATAGTTATACATTGTGCCTTAAACTTTTATATTTTAATTTACTCAAACTATAAAATTTCCCATAAGTACAAAAAATAAAATAAAATAAAATAAACACAGGTCTTATAAACACTTCTAAAATAAATTGATGACTTAATCAAATAACATGCATTTATGGAAGATCTTATGAGCTCAGAAAATGACCACTCGTTGTAAAGGGTAATAATGAAAATATTGATAATTTCCATTTATTGAGTATTCTATGCCATGCATTTTATTAGGTGCTCTATGTATATTATGCCTTTTAGTTTTCAAAGCAAACCTATTATAAGACAATCCATATTTTACAGAAGAGAAAATTGAATCTCTCAGAGGGTTTCTCAGCACTAATGTTTTTAAAAACTATGTTCTTCACCAATAAGACATAGAAAGTTGTTAATTAAGAAATAAATGTCACAGAAAGCTGAGCCACAAGAGTTCAGCTGCAGGGTAGGGTCCTGGTTACCTTTGCAATGATTAACCTGCCTGGAGCAGTTTTTATGAAAATACTAGACCAAAAGCAACATCCAAATTTTAGCATTCCTGAGAAGAGATGGCTGGTTAGGGAAGAAAGGAATGCTTTACTTATTTAGATTAAAGCTAAATGGAAACCAAATAATGTCAAAAAACAATGTCAGACAACTGGCAATGAAATTGAAAGCTATTGGTGTAAAAAATTCTGTTCCAAAACTTCTTGACTTAGATTTACTTGGGCAACCAGAATGTGCTAAAACAAAGATAAGTATAATATATATTGTGTGCTAACCTTCCCTCCACCTTCTTTCTTCTGTCAGATAAAGAATGTACTTCATCTTGCTTTGAGAACCAAGTATAAGTGATAATTCATTTATTTTAAAGTGAACATTTTATTTGTCAGTCATTTTTATTTTGCCAATGGTAAAATGGTATATTTAATCCATCCATGTTTTTCATAACTTTATGTTTAATTTTTACTGAGAGAATAATCTCAAGTAAATTTTACTTTTTTCTCAGTCTATCAAATTGAAACCTCAATGAATTCTTTATATTTCATTCTAAAAGAGATAATATAAATAATTCCCATGTGTATGACTTTGAAACAATTGAATGAGAAGTATCTTTAACAGTAATATAAGAGTATGACAATCTGTATTATATATATTTCAAGGGCATCAGTCATGTTCTTCAGTTTATATTTTATTATCCCTATCAGAGACAAGGTTGGTTCCACTATGATTTTACTGGTACCCTATGACAATCTTCTCTGGTTACATTATGAATCTGGAGATTGCAGTTGCTTTGAGATGACCACGGTCATCACATTGGTTTCCCCTCTTAGCCCACAAACTGATGTTCAATGCAGACCTTTGTTCTCTTTGACTTAGTTCCCAGCAATGGCTTTATTCCCAGTGGTGGTGTTTCTGGCTGCTGTGCTGCTTCCATCCTTACCTGCAGAAAAAAAGGTAACTTGGAGTGGAAAATCTTCCCAGAGCTATTCAAGCAACTTTGTGGGATGGCAAGGCACTTGAAGAGTAGAAAAGAGAAAGAGTGTCTGGCATATCACAAAGTACTCACTGGTTGCTCAGAGCATTTATCATCATTATCTAGATGAAAATTTAAGGCTGTGCTGTGAAATATGTAGCTACTGTCTCATGTGGCTATTGACAGCTGAAATGTGGCTTGTCCAAAATAAGATGTACTGTAAGTGTACTATACGTACCAGATTTCAAAGATTTTATACAAAAAAGAAGAGGTAAATATCACATTAATTGTTTTTATATTAAGTACATGATGCAATAATGTTTTAGATCATTGTAAATTTCAGCCATTCATTTGTGTAACCCTCATGGAACAACACCCACATTTTCCTCTGCCTTCAGACTCAAAGCCCCACACTCCCACACACAAGGACAAACCAGAAAATAGCAACACCTGATTTAATACTTTAATTAAACTTCTGTTAATAAAATAAAAAAGTCAGCAATAGTCCATTAATTGGATGGTTTTGCTTCCTCCAAATGCCTCAGAGATTGTTTAATATTGCAAAGCTGTCTTATGACTGACTTCATATAATCTAACCACAATAGGTAGAATGAATTTTCTAGAATTTTGAATGCACTTCCACGGAGCCTAAACATTCTTTCCCTAAAGTATTCTAAATACATTCTGTCTCTAAATACAGATAACCATGTCAGGTCACATTTCCCTCAAAGTTGGGATGAACCTTGAGCCACACCCTTATTCCCCCTGATGCAGCCTGATTAAATGTAAATGAATATATCTTAATGTTCCTATTGTGTACCTTTGTAATTTTAAATATTATCACTTGTATATCATATTGAGTTCCCTTGAAGTCAGAAATGGGCATTTTTGGCCTTAAAGGATTTGTAAAAATTGTCATGTCATGAATTACATTTTTATTCTCAAAGCTTCAAATTCCTCCCTTGCTATTTGTCATAGCTTTGGCTAAGATTCATTGGCAATGCTTTGCAACTAATATGGTTTAAACTGAACACTTTTTAAAGTGATCCTTGCTTCCTTGAATTAATTATTCAATATTATATGTTTAAAAATTTCAAAAATGTCATTATAAAAAAATTCTAATTTTATTTCTTTTTAGGATCCAGCCTTTTCTTCTTTGTTAACCTCTCAAGCGCAAATACAAAGAGAGATTGTAAATAAACACAATGAATTAAGGAAATCAGTCTCTCCACCTGCCAGCAACATGCTCAAGATGGTAAGAGGCAGTAATATAAGGAAAGTGGTAGGGACAAGTGGTGAGATCAGGAAGCTGGTAATTGGTGTTCGCTACCAGCTTTGTGCCTTACAACATTCTGCTCCTGTTTTGCTATTTCATCTGAGCTGTGTTATGGGCAGGAAAGAAATTCTTAATTTTATTTTATACTAGTTAAATAACTCATCAAAATTGGGCTATAAAGTTTGGAAGGCAGAATTAGAGGCCAAATCTTCAGGCATCAAATGTGAAGCTGTTACTTTTTTTTCTTTGCTATTTTTTCCTAGCTTAAAATAAATCCTGTTTCTTTCAAGATCAGTGTCATTTAGGGTAAATAGTCCACTTTCCAAGGCGTAGTCCCCGAAAGCTAAATATCTCCTGTATGAAATCAATAGGCTACAAATGGTGTCGGGAATAATCTAGGCCAGTTTATTACTACTATTGAAATGTAGTTATAATTATAATACTTTACATGTTGGTCACTATTTAGAATAGCACCATTACTGAAAATCCTGACCTGTGGCTGTTGTGTGATCATAGTCAGATATTATTGTGTTAGACTTTCGTTGGACATGCTACCTATAGGCTGTTTTTGTGGGAAACTGGCACCTCAGCAGATAAAGACACACCAAACAAAGTATATTTTAAGACCTAAGACCAGTGACAAATAAATTATATATCTACAGAAGTTTTTTTTTTTTTTTAATCCTCCTGGGAGGGCATGCTTACTGATTTTAGAGAGAGAGGAAGGAAGAGAAAGTGAAAGAGAAACATTGATGTGAGAGAGGTACATCAATCGGTTGCCTCTTGTACACACACACCCTGAGCAGGGGGCAAACCCTCAACCTTTCTGCTTATGGTGGGATGCTCCAACCAACCGAGCCACACCAGCCAGGGCTCTACAGAAGTATTGAGGTAGTACAGGTTAATCTACCAATCAGATTATAATGCATATGCTTTTTTGGAGTTGAATACTTAAGTGTATTTTTTTTTCTTATAATGCTTAGGAATGGAGCACAGAAGCAACAGCAAATGCCCAAAAATGGGCAAACAAGTGCACTTTACAACATAGTAATGCAGAGGACCGAAAAACCAGTATGTACGTTAGTAGCCATTTGTTGAATAAATGAAGAAATAAAATAGCAGTGGACAAATAAAATAGAATGGACCATACCAGGGTCTTGCATTAAGACTGTGAATAAATGTTGCTTCTATTTGTCTTTTTGAAATCAAAGTACCTGTATATAGAGAAATGTGATAAGTACCATTTTGTGCTTATAGATGGTTCATGTTATGCAAATAATTTCTCAGTCATTTGTTCCTTTCAACCAGCTCAGGAATAAGTAGGTCATGCATCACCATTTTTTAAATTTTAAAGATTAGAAAACTAGGACTTGACAGGAATGACTTACCTGAGAACACAACCTGAAGTAGTGACATATACTGGAAACTTAACCAGGCTCTCTGATTTCTAATCCACTGCCCTTTTATGATATTGTGTAGCCACTTTGCACTCTGAAATCTATTAATTTCATATTCATAAAATATATTGAATTATGTGGAACTGTTCCTGATTTTTTCTTTAAAAAATACTAAACTTTTTAAAAGCAGGATAAATATTTGGGATATGTTCAATCATTTCAAATTTTTAATAGCAGAAAGTCAAGTATCTTATATGAATTTGTGCCTATAATGCATAGTGTAATATATTAGATTCAAAAAACACAGAAGACATATCTTATAAAGCATAAAAATACTGAAAGGGAAAACACTTGTATGCATAAACCTTACATGCAATATTTATTTACATTATCAAACATTATAATGCATGATATCAAACATAATATCACTATGTATAGGCAAGCTCAGTTTGAAAGTAGTGAATAATTTACTTGTAATTTCAGTAGAGCTGTTATTGTTTGTATTGTTGTTGCTCACATTATAATGAAATTATGAAGAGAGAAAACTGTATTCAGCACAAGACTGAAAACCAAATGGTCTTAAAGTTCCAAGTCTATGGTTAGAGTTTTAATTTCTCTCCTCCACTATTAAAGAAGATATCTAAGAATATTTTATACTCTAAATAGCATGTAAAGATTAAATTTCTAGCCAACAAATGATAAACATTAAATGAAAGCTTGAAAAGATAGGGAAAACTTTCTGGGCTGCAAGAAACTTCTTTATTTTTCTAATTAATTTTATTATTTAAGAACACTTAACATGAGATCTACCCTTTAAACAACTTTAAGTGTACCATACACCATTGTTGTATTGCTGTACAACATTGTACAGCAATGTTGTACAATGGTACAAAGGTACAATGCTGTACGCTTTTTCATCATTCATAACTCGGGCTTCATGCCCATGGATTAGGAATTCCCCACTTCCCTCTCCTACCAGCCCCATCAACCACCATTCCACTCTTTGACTCTGTCAATTTGAGTATTTTAGTAGTTTCATGTAAGTAAAGGCATTCAGTAGTCATCTTTCTGTGGCTCATTTCACTTGTCCTCAGGTTCATCCATGTTGTCACATGTTGCAGAATGTCTTACTTTTTAAAGGATGAATAGTGTTGCATTTTATACACACACATGAGGCAGCCCCCAGAAATCATAGATCCTTGGATGTTCCATTCAATTCCTTCTCTCCCCAGGGAGAAGCTAGGAGCTGAGATTTTTTGCCTGTTCACTTTGTGCTGGACCAGAAAGAGAAACTGTGGCTACTGCCAGCCAAACCCCTGCCTCTGTTTTCAATAGCCCTGGGCAGCTAGATTATGCTAGGTCTTGTTAGCATTTCCAAATAGGCAAGTCAGAAGCCATTCCTTCAGGCAGGCTCTGGAAATTCGAGGCATTGAATGTCCAGACAAACTCTTTTATTCCTGTGGGGAGGAGCAAGCAGCTGTGGTTTTTGTCTGCTTGTCATGTGCTGAACTGGAAAGAGGATCTATGGCATCTACCAAACCTTCTCTCTTCTTCCCCAGAGGGAAAGACTGTGCCAACCCCATCAAACATCTAAGAATGGCAAGACAGATGCCAACTCTTTGGGTAGCCTTGGCAAAATTGGAACATTAAATGCACTGATCAACACTATGCCTCCCATAGAAAAAGCTGAGAGCAAAGATTTTTTATTTTCTTGCTCTGAACTGAGCCAAAGAGACAATTATGGTGTCTCCCAGCCCAAGCCACCATATTGATTATCCTTCAGGTGAATAGCCTGAACCTGACACTCAAGGCTCCAAGACAACCAAAACAGAAGCCAGCCCTCTAGGAAGTCCCCTCGGAAAAGTTGGGATGTGGGACATATAAACCAAATTGTTGCCTCCCCTGGGAGAAGCTGGAAGATGGGAGGGTATCTTCCTGTGCTGAGAGTAGAGCTTCTAGCAAGTGTTCCATTCCAATCTCCCTACAGGCTTCATTGAGCCTGGCTTCATATTCTACTATATATAGGAGCTTTTCAATGAGCTTTGGGGTTTCTCACAAGGGCAATTCATTCATTAACTGTTGTTGGATCAGTGTGTTGAAGGCAAGAAAGTCCAGGCTTCCTATTTCATCAGTCTTGCTGATGTCATCCTCTGCAAGGTCTTTCTTGCCTTACTCTCTGAGGGGGACTTGACCTTGTGACATTCTTATTTACTGATAAGGGAAGATACAAAGTTTTGAAAACTGCCAATCCTCCTGCTGTCAGTTGTTTTTTGTTTGGGGTCTTAAAGACTGCTCATAGAGCTTTTACCTTTGAAGTTTGACACAAAATCATAATCATAAACATTTGTTTAGGGTTCTGTATGTGAAAAATCTCTGGTAAGGGTGGTCATGAGGAGGAAAGAAAGATTAAAAGTTGGTTGGTGCCTTTTACAAGCTCATAATACAAAGCTAAGAGTACATGAGGCATTGCACACATGAAGCATTTAGCACGAGAAAGAGTGCATCTTTGACAATCCAGAGGAAGGAAAGAAGAATGAGGTCTTCTCAACCTATTCAAGTTTTGTATGTTGAGGTCAGCTTCACTGTGATAGGCAGACCTGTGTTCTATACAACATTCTAGCTGATAAAGAATTGAACCACCTTTTTTATGTATTAATTTTAGTCAACATTAGCAAGTATGGGCACAGTAGAAGGCAACACCCTGGTGTTCCTATAGTGGATTTCTTTTGCCATTGCAGCTATATCGCTTTCTTCATGATCTATTCCTTCATAGGTACAAAATGTGGTGAGAATCTCTTTATGTCGACCGACCCTACTGCCTGGTCCAATGCAATCCAAAACTGGTATGATGAGAGCCAAAATTTTGTCTACGGTGTAGGACCAAAGAGTTCCAGTGCAGTTGTTGGACATTATACCCAGGTAAAGGGAGCAAATGAAAATACTTCTGCCACAAATGCTCTAATATAGAAAGCTTCTCTAATTTATGACTATCTCCAGTGTTTAATTTGGGGGAATGGGCCTGAATAGGTACAATATAGTCCTGGTGCTGGGCTGGCACTTTATCTAGAGCTGTCATTTTTTCCCCATGACCTGCAAAACTCTTGGTTGGGAAGTGCACTCTGTATTTCTGCAACATGATATATGAATAAAGCACTAAATTTACATAAAAATTTAATATTTTTAAAGTTTGTGATTTTGTTACAATAATTTAAATATTTCTATGAAATACATGGTTATAAGCTATAGTAGTAATATTTTTTCAAGCTTTTATTTGGTATTTGTTCTTTAATATTTTCTCTCTTTTTTTTACTGCATTCTCTATATACTCCTTTATGGTTTTGTAGGTTGTTTGGTACTCATCTTACCGTGTTGGATGTGGAGTTGCCTTTTGTCCCAATCAAGACAGTCTAAAATACTACTATGTCTGCCAGTATTGTCCTGCGTGAGTATACACTTTAGAGTTTAAATCAATAATTTCATCTGCAATTTAATATTTTTAAATTCTCATATATTAAACAAATAGGAATAAAAATATGTTCCAGTGAATGGTAGGAATAAATCTTTGGAAATGCTTTTTTAAGGTGAGATACATTCAACTTATCAAAGAAGAGACTAAGTTCTCAAGTCCAAGTATAAAATCTGAAGCTCTCTTTCCTCAATTATAAAATGATGTCTTTTCTCTCAACTGCCTTTCCCTAGGGCTGAAGGTTATTCCATGAGTGTGTGGAATGTGCATTTCTCTAGATTTGGTATCATCAGTTCTTATTAATTTCACATTTTAAGAGGGTGGAAACTTGATGATTAAGCAAGGGGTGATAGTGCAGGGATCACAAATTGTGATTTCTGCCTTCTCTGCTAAAATGTTTCCACTTGTGTTTATTTAAAGGCCACTTACATTTTTACCATAAAAAATGATTTATTTTTTTGAGTTTCAAAGGTTTTCTAAGAAATTTTTAATATATTTTAGAGTCCAGAAAAAGTTAACATTGTCTTTGTTTCTCAGCAGTTTTCACACACATACACAATACGTTCATAAAAAACCATCCCATACTGTCTTGATTTATAGCAGGAAACATGCTGTTTCATCAAGCAATATGTTTGAAGTCATCCACAATAATCCCTATGAATATTTTCAAGACCTGATTTCAACGTATCTGTTAGCCCTGATTTCTTTTAATGTTTGTAATTCCTTATGACTAGAGGCAGGGGGACCCCCAAAACCACATTTCCCATAGGATTTATTTTGAGATTGTAGACAACCTGGGGATGTGGATCTCCCACTGGAGAAGTGTGGCCTCCAGACCCATTTGCCCACAAGCACCTATTAAGTCTTACAAAAAAAGAAATGAAAAGTCCGAGGAGAATGCATTCAAACTCACTGCCTGCCTGTGAGAGGGAAGGTATCTGAAATGAGGGGTGGCATGAATAATGAAGGAAAGCAGAGGTGACAGAACTTCCAGAACATTTTTATGTCTATTTTACAACTTTCCAAGGGCTCGCACACATGTAGTTCTATTCTGTGCAGGGAGACTGAGATTCAAGTGCATTCTTGGCCCATTTAACACTATGAGGATTAGGACTCCCACATGTTTTCAAATAAATTAACTGGACAATGAGATAATGATCATCAGAGAGTTACAAGTTAGTCTCTGTAAGGTGATTGCACCTTGGATATCCATGTTTATAAAATCTTTTAAAAACTAATGTTATTTTGTGTTAAACATAAAAATCACACACAGCCTCTAGAAACTTACACATTTCCCCAACACTCCCCTCCTCACAAACATAAGTACAAACACCACTAACTACTTAAATATCATTTCCCCTGTGTAGAAGTAAAAAAATGTATATACTTGAGCTTTACTGTCCCTAATTCATGTAAGAAAAATTATGGTATTTTATCATTTTTCAAATATAAATGATATTGTAACATTGAGTATTCTTTTTCGTACTGCAACCCCCAGCCCCCCGGGAGTTTCTCCTGACTGTCTAGGAGATATGTTCTTCCCCTCACCAGCACATCGGCTGCACTGCCTTACCAATTCGACCAAGTCTACTGGGAGATGAAGAGAGCATTAAAATATACTCTGAAAAATTTAGATGGTAGTTATCCCAATTTAGTTGTCCAACCTGCAGAATAATGGTCAAGGAGATGAGTCAGCATGTGAAGCATTTTCTTAATTTGGAGTTTATCTGAATTACACACTGGGAATTATATTTTTTCACTTTTGTTAACATATCTAAATATATTTAATAATTGCATATTTTGTGACTGATGTTACCCTTGGAGTATAAACTAAACAGCAAAGTGAAAAATATTTAACATTATGTATTTTAAATTTCAGTGGTAATAACATAAGTAAAAAGAACACCCCTTACCAACAAGGAACACCCTGTGCCAGTTGCCCTGGTGACTGTGACAACGGACTGTGCAGTAAGTTTAAAGTCATTAACCTGCTATGATAATAAAATGTTCATGTTTTATTTTCTTTTTGTGGATTAGCAAATTTCATAAAGCTACCATTTATGTAATGTCTTTATGCAAAAGACAAAGATTCCTCAACAGGATGTATAAGTAAACATTTTATACATTTTACTAACCTACATATTTTTGTAATAGAAAGAACATTACCATATCTAACATAATGAAATATCTACCATCAATGACTTTTGTGGCTATGCAGACCTCATTAACTACATATTTCTGGTAACTAGCTCATTTCATCGAAGTATCATTACACTACAGGTGGTAATTTGAAAGAATGAAAATGTATAAATCTATGGATGTGAGATGACTGGCTCAGTCTAGACAGGCACACTAAACATTGTTTCTTTTTTTAAGAGATATTATTTATTTATTTATTTATTTATTTATTTGTAGAGAGAGGTGAAGGGAGGGAGAAAGAGAAGGAGAGAGATATCAATGTGTGGTTGCTTCTCATACACCCCCTACTGGGGACCTGGCCTCCCGCAACCCAGGCATGTGCCCTGACTGAGAATCGGACAGGTGACCTTTAACATTACAGATGGGGCCCTGGCTGGTATGGCTCAGTGGATTGAGTGCCGGCCTGCAAATCAAAGGGTCACCGGTTCGATTCCTAGTCAGGGCACATGCCTGGGTTGCAGGCCAGGTCCCCAGTAAGGGGCATGCGAGAGGCAACCACACATTGATATTTCTCTCCCTCTCTTTCTCCCTTCCTTCCTCCGTCTCTAAAAATAAATAAGATCTTAAAAAAAAAAAGATTACAGATGGGTGTGCAACCCACTTAGCCACACCAGGCAGGACAAATATTGTTTCTTTTATGCTAATGTGTTCATCATGCTGATTACCACATTTTTATAGTATAATAGCAATCATAGTGTTTGACTTGATAAATGGTCACTGACCCTAAATAAGTAGTTTTGTGCACTTCTTAATGACAAAATCCAATGCACATATAATATTGGTTCATAGAACTCACAAACACATTGTTGCAAAAGGAGAGAATAAAATGTCATATATCATTTCTAAAGTTGTTATAAATAGAAGTAAAAAGTGTTGGCCTTTTATAGTTGGAATACTTTCATTAAAATTATGAACAATAGATTTAACTTACTCACTGAGAGTTTTACCTTTCAAGTGCATTCACTTTTAGTTAGCATTCTGATTGAATTATATAGCTATAATTCAGATATTGATGATATCAAAGCTATAAATCAAATTTTAAAAAGTTGAATCTTTATATCTTGACTGAATGCTATTTGCTAAGGAGATTGGAATTATCCTATTAGCAATAAGCAATTAACTGAAAGATTTTAAATCAAAGAGTGACAAGGTCAGAATGACATTTCATAAAAAACTTTCTAGCAATAGTAGGTAGAAACAATTGGATGGAAGCCAGCTAGAAAACTGTTAAAAAACATGGGTTTAAAAAAGTGGATGTCTTTACTGTGCTAATGGCAAAATAAATAAAGAAGAATGGACAGGGCTGAGAGCCCAGAAGAATAGCCAGTGTTGGTTACCTGTGCTGGTTGAATGTGGGTCAGAAGTAGAAAAGGAGATTAGATGGATTCATTTCTGGGCCTAAATCACTGAGGAGTCAGAGAGCCATTTCACTGAGATTATGGGAGGGATGTAGGAAGACAAAAGCCAAGAACCACCAGCCTTGTGGGTAGTATGATGAGTTTATTTTGGGATTTGTTGAGTTTGGGGTCCCCCGGGAACATTCAAGAAGAAACACCAGAAGGAAAGGGGGCATATCATCACTGTTTTACATCTTAATCTTCCTACAAAAATCACTTTCTCCAGAAAGGAAAGCATTAGAGTCTGAAGCCATGCTGTTCAATAGCATAAAAGGATGGAAATTATTAAGGAAATACATTTTTTATTTTATTTAATTTATAATAATTTAATTGAAATAGCTACATATGGCTAGTGGCTCCCATATTAGTGGCTCCCATGTCTACGGGTATACAGGGATTTACTTATATTGATCTTAGTTTCTTTGAAAAGGGGGAAAAGTAGGTCACTTAATTTTAGAGACGTGTTGCCAAGTTCAAAATTTTAAGTGATGGATTAAACAGTGAGCTCAACTAAAGCACCTTATTATGTCCCTCAAGAAGTGAAAAGCCCATCATAGTGTAAGAGACACTGACATACTTGTCCAACCCTACCCCCTATGCATTTTGAATGTATAACTTGTTTTGCTGCCACTAAGGAAAATGATAATAATGTAGCTAATCTGTTTTTCTTACAGCCAATAGTTGCCAGTATGAAGATCTCCTCAGTAACTGCGATTCTTTGAAGAAAACAGCTGGATGTGAACATGAATTGCTCAAGGAAAAGTGCAAGGCCACTTGCCAGTGTGAAAACAAAATTTACTGAAATACTCAATGTACCATGTGCAAGACTAAGTGGAGAAGGGCTGCATCATTTAGTTGACACATCCCAGAGGGGAAATTGTAGGCATGTTAGTTACAAATTTGATTTCAAATGGCAATGGATCTTTTTTTCTTGAATCTTCACAGAAAGCTCTTTCACACATCAATTTACAAAAGCAGCATAGTCTATAATGGCAACTTTGGACTTTGAGATAAACTTGGTACTTTAAACTTAATGAATCAAATCAAGTTGAAGATTTTTAAAGTTTTATAACCATAGGATTTAGATCACTAGAGTTTTGGACTAAAACGAAGAATCATGTTTCCCGAAACAACTTAAAAAACAAAACAAAACCCTGTAACATCATTGTCTTTCCTACTACATGATTTTTAAATGTATTGTATAAAGAATGAGTCCAAAGAGTAACATCTACCTTTGTCTTATGGCCTCCTTTTTAAACAAAAATAATAAAGAACATATTAAGCAAACACATAGATGTGATTCTTTTTTTAGATATGATTCTTGTACAATATTTTATAAAATTCATAATTGTTCCAGCTGGACTTAGCCAAGATGTCATATAGATTAAAATTTCCAAAATATTTGCCTATAAAATTAAACTTTAGTAAACAAAAAAAGAATCAGCCTATTATTACTTCTTTTTTGTTTGTTTATTTTTTTTGATATTCTAACATCCTCTCTATTGGTTTAGTTGATAAATTTTAAAAAGAAAGTATTGCCCTGTCTGGAGTGGCTCAGTTGGTTGGAGTATGATTTTGTACACCAAAATGTTGAGGGTTTGATTCCCAATTAGGACAAATACCTAGGCTGCAGGTTCAATCCCCAGTTGAGGTATGTATGGGAAGTAACCAATTGAGGTTTCTCTCTCACACTGATGTTTCTCTTCCCTTCCTCTGTCTAAAATCAATAATCATGTTTAAATTTTTAAAAGGGCATTATTATCTGACAACATATACAAAAAAAATCCCCCCCAAAATAGTAATAAATATTTTAGGGAGATGATTTATAAGTTTTTGCCTCAATTTATGATTGATGAAACAACAAAGTAGACCCATTTCATGAATTAAAGAGAAACCACTTTGAAAATCTAAAATAAGTGAAATGGGTATGGATAGTAGTCAGAAAAATATCTGTCAGGTCTGGCCAGAGAGATGGTGAACTAGCCTGAGCTATTGATGCATCCAAGATGAAATAGATCATATAAATTATCTTATCCTCATTAAAGAAATTGAATTTATAATTCTAATGTTTCTATAAGAAAAAATTTGAGGCTCAGATCATTTCATTGCAGAGTTATATCAACTATTTAAAAAAGGATTACTACAAATTATGCACAATATCTTTCAGAAAGTTGAATGAAGGAATGCTTTCAATTCACTCTTTGAGACTAGTATTATCCTACTACTAAACCCAAAGACATTAAATAGGATTTTTAAAAAAATGTAGAATTATAGCTGTCATGAACATGGATAGAAAAATTTCAAACAAAAATTAAGTAAATTAATCCAGAATTATAAGATAAAGATAATATACTCTAGTGACATTGGATTACCTCTACAGGTGTGGGGTTAATATTCAAATCTACTTTGTTGCCACCTTATCTATTTGCCACCAAATAGATAAGCCATGTGCTCATCTCAATAGATGAAAAGCAAACATTTGACAAAATCTGATATCCAGTCAAATAAAACTCCCAGCAAACCAAGAAGAGAAGTTTTTCAAGTTGTCAAAGGGAACCTAAAGCAAATATATTCTTCTATAAACAAATATACAATACTTAATGTTAAAAGAGTGAAAGTCTTCCCCCTAATATAGAAAAAAAATCAAAGATATCCATTCTCATATGTACTAAACATTGTAGTAGTCCTGTCCACTAAATTAGATAAGACAAACAAAGAGCATCTAATTGGAAAAGAAGTGGTAAAACTATTCTTATACTCAGAAGAAATGATAGACATAATGATCAACCTGAGAACAGATACACATATATGGACAGATGATTTGACAATGGTGGAGAGTCAACTCAATGGAGAAAGAACAGTCTTGTCAGCAAATGGTGCTGGGAAAAATGATACATATTTAAAAAATGAACTTTGATTTAGATTTTGTACTATAAGCAAAAAATAACCCCAAATCTATCATAGACCTAAAAAAAGAAATTAAAAAAAATTTTAGAAGAAATCATAAGAGAAAAATCTCTGAGAGTTCTGGTTAAGTAAATATTTCTTATATACAATGTTAAAATGATATAAAAGAACAAATTGATAAATTAGCTTAATCAAAATGAAAAAAGTTCTGTTCTTTTAAAACACCATTAAGAGAACAAAAGGGCAAGTCACAGACTGTGCAAAATTATTTACAAAGCATCTATCTAAAAAATAGACTTGTATCAGGAATATATGATGACACTCAAAACTCAATAATGACTTTTTAAAAACAACCCAGTAAAAATGGGTAAGAGACTTGAACAGAGACTTCACCACAGTTGTGTACAGATGGCAAATAAGAATATGAAAAGATGTTCATCATTAGTCATTGCAGAAATGCAGATTAACCACTCTGGAAATATATTACCCAGGTATTAGAATAACTAAAATGAAAAAAAAAACTGACTCTACAACGTGCTGGTAAAGTTGTGGAAGGACTGGATCCATCACACACTGCTCTTGAGAATATAAAATATTGTTATATAAAGATAACATGTCCACAGGTTCCTAATAAGTTATATAGCTAGCATAGGACCCAGCCTTTCCATTTCTATATACCCAAAGGAAAACATATGTCCATTCAAAGGTTTGTACATGAGCATCCATGGAAGGTTTGTTTGTAATAGCCAAAACCTAGAAACAATTCAAATGCTCATTCACATGTGACTGTATTAGCAAGTTGTAGTATATACATATAATGGACTACTTGGCAGATAAAAGGAACGAACTATTGATATTCCTAACAACTGATCTATCTCAAAATAATTAGTAAAAGAAGATAAGAATGTGCATACTATATGATTCCATTACATAAAACTAAAAGCAAACTATAGTGACAGGAGGCCTTCAACTTTCTCACTTATAAAATGAATATAATCATTATATCCATTGCATAAGAAATTTGCTAAAATTTAATGATATAGGTAGGCTTAAAATAGTGTTGGCTGCAGGGTAATGTCAGCCAAATGGCAGTATAGAAATTTCTAGCCCCCTAAAACATAATTTTGAACAACAATCCATACACCTAAATACCTTCACAAGAGCCAAGGATTTCAGGTGAGAGATTATAGCACCTGGGTGAAGCATAAGGATAAGAAAAGACATGTTGAAGAGTGTAGCAAAGATAGGTTCACTCTACACATATTTCTGTCCCCGGATCCTGGGCAGCCTAGTGCATACACATACCCTTTTGTGGAGAAGTAGAGTGAAGTGAGCACCCAACTTCACCACAGACCTCAGAACCAGCCTAGCAGGTGCTGGGCCAACTGCTGTAGTTCCAGGGGGTTCCCTAGTGGCTCCTGCAAACCAAGGCCCCTGATTCACCCAGGGCTCATGGTTTCCAGAGATCCCAGGCAGCTTCTATGGCACCAGGTTCCTGGCAGGCTCCTGTGATCCCGAGCTCTTGACCCTCCAAGGTACCAGCCAGCTCCCATAGCACATGGTTTCCGGTGGTCTCCTGTGAACCTGGGATCCCAGCTCACCCCAACATCAACTGGCCTCTGGGGCACTGAGAAGCTCCTGTATAGCACCAGACTCCCAATCAGCCTGGCAAACCTAGGCTCTAAGCCTTGTCTTCAAGGAGTTCACATTGTCCTTATTCAGAAAGTTCATATTCTAAAGAGATCTTAACTCACTTGTTTGCATCACAACTGTGTTTCCAGTGCCCAGCAGAGTGTTTCACTCATAAGAGGGTCTCAATAAGTAATTGTGGAATAAGTTAATACCAATGAATAGGTGAGCAAATAAGGTATTGTATATGTGAGTGTCATAGAGAAAATAAGCAGGAGCACATAACAGAAAGAAGAGAGTAAGTGGGCCATTTATTTTTCATTATTATTAGTTTTAGTCCTCACCCAAGGATATGTCCATTGATTTTAAAGAGAAAGGAAAATGGGTGGGGGGAGAGACATAGATGTGAGAGAGATACATCAATCAGTTACCTCCCATATGCATCCTGACCAGGGATTGAACTTACAACTTAAGTATGTGTCCTGACTGGGGGATTAAACCTGCAGCCTTTTGGCATATGGGACAATGCTCCAACCTGAGCCACCAGGCCAGGGCTAGGTTTGGTGCTTAAACATCATCTTCTTTTTGGAGGTATAAGAAGTAATTCTGGGCTATGTAACTTCACATGCACCATGAACATACGATATGCAGGCTCAAGGTATCTCATATCATTGGGTACCATGTACCAAAACTGAGATTGTCTAGAATTAAGGAGGAAAGGTGAAGGTTAAATTTTGTTACACATATGAATTTTGTAGAAGTTAATGGAATATGTAGGCATACAGCGAGAACATAAAAATACAAAATTAGATCAAATGTGCAAAACAGCAAAATATATCAGTATGTAAGATATTTTTTCCTGATTTAGTAAAATTATTTAAGTAAAAATTTCCCAAAGGCATAAAATTAAGTTCAATGAGTTATTTTTTTTTACTTTAAGGGCTAAAATATTTACTTATTAAATTATTTGTATGCTAGACTACAAATTCATGACTATGTAAATTCTAGACAGTATAATAAACTACCTAGAATAGCAAAAAATGTTTTGTCTGTTGCCCTGGCTGATGTGGCTTAGTGGATTGAGGGCCAGTCTGTCAAGCAAAAGGTCGCTGGTTTGATTCCCAGTCAGGGCACATGCCTGGGTTGCAGGCCAGATCCCCAGTTGGGGGTATGTGAGTGGCAAATACACATTGATGTTTCTCTCCTTTTCTTTCTCCTTTCTTTCACCTATCTCTATAAATAAATAAACAAAACCTTTAAAATAAA